CAGTTTTGACGTCACGGCTTTGCCTCGCTCCGGGCTCGGACGCGCGATGCAGCGGTTCCAAGACTTGGCGCGGCGCTCGGTCTGTGGACCATGTCGCGCCTTGGGCCCGGCTGCGAGTCGCTCGGGAAAGACCATCGGTCGAAGGCGAGCAACTTAGTTCGCGTCGGGGCAGCCCGTGGATGACGAGAACGGCCATTAACGGTGGGGGGCGACCGACGAGGGGCCCAACTTAGTTCCAGGGGGCGTTTGGGCTGTTAGACTTCGAAGAGACCCCCCCTGGAATGATGTTCCCGAGGGCACTGTCTCGGTTCTAACAGCCCAAACGCCTCATGCATTGCGCGGTGAGCACCGTGTCACCCGCGGCGCCGCACGCCTCCCGGAGGTGGTGAGGTGATCTCGATCAAACCCACTCGAGCCGAAGAGCTGCCGCGAGGGCATCTGGTCGCCCCCATGACGAACGATTCCCGACGCTCTGTGACTCGAAGGGGACCGAAAATCGGGTCGGGGGAAGCTGCCGCGCCTCATTCCACCCCCTGGGGCTGCCCGTTTGCGTCGCCTCGCAATCGTCCGGATGTCACGTCTTTTCATGTGCCTCACCCACATGTTTGCGGACCTCAAAGCCACTGGGATCGTTGCACGTCGCTGCATATTCGAGGAGCGCGGGGCCCTCTAAGGTGGAGATTCCATCGTCGGCCGCTGAAATGCTCGCACGAGAGACCGTCTCTTAGCTACGGATTACTGCAGCATTGCTTCATAGATGTGCTTGTTCAACGACGGCTCATTCGCAGCCGTAGCCGGCGGTGGCCGGCCGCTTGGGAGAGCAAAACCTGCTCTCCCGATGGCGACCGAACCACACTAACCTAGCCCACAAATGCGCTGGCTATGGACGCTCTTCCTCCCACGCGCGTGGTCCCAGGAGAAGCGCGGCTGGACGGCGGCCTACGTCGACGCCATCTACGCCATGGAAGGCGCGCTCCGCCGGGCCAACGCCAGCGACTCACCGACGATCCAGCGCGGCGCCTGGCAGCACGACCGCGCCGTCGGCGAGCACTTTAGCAGCCGCGACGCCGCGCAGGCGGCCGGGCAGTGGCGCGCGCTGCGCGACGCCGCCGCGGCGCTGCGCTACCCCGCGCGCGCGTTCGCGGGCGCCGGCGTCGCGATCGTCGGCGGCGGCCTCCGGTACTACGGCGTCGCGGAGGTCAACGCGCGGCGCCTGCGCGACGTCGGCTGCACGTTGCCCATCGAGCTCTGGTGCCTGCGCGCCGAGCAGCCGACGCCCGCGCTGCGCGCGTGCCGCCTCGACCCGCTCGGGGTCGTCGTCCGCGTCGCGGATCCGGTCGCGGCCGCGCTGGGCGGCGGGCCGGCGCGGCGCGACGCCTTCGCGAAGCGCATGCCCGCGACGAACAAGCGCTACGCGCTCAAGGCCATCGCGCTGGTCTTCTGCTCCTTCGAAAAGGTCCTCGTGTTGGACGCGGACGAGCTCGCGGTGCGCGACCCGACGTTTTTACTGCGCAACCAAGG